CTTCTTCGTGAAAAGTCCGGTCAAACCCCGGTCAAACCCCGATGGCAGCCATGTTTTTGTTTTGTTTATTAGAGGACGCTTACGCGCGTAATCATTCCATATTCGGAATTCGCATTTCCTTATATAGTAGGATGTAAATACCCCGTAAAATACCGCAAAATTACGGCACGCTGTAACTTATGTCGTTACGGTGACAGATGTATAATAAAATATAACTTGTGGCCTCAACTCAACTACAATGTATGTGGTGTTCATATGACTTACACATTATAACTAAACGACAAGATACACTATCATCAATTAACCGTAAATTTGATTGTTGGTTGGTTGGTTGGTTGATGAACAATATTTCATTGCTATGTGGACATTACGCGTGGAAAACACTTGCCTAGTTTACAAAACAATAAACGGACAGTACGTGACGTCGTGGGACATACGGGTGTGTCATTTGTCATGACACAATAGTGACTCCGGTCGTAGTCACAAATTAATTATTCTTGACATGTGGGTGCATGTTTTTTGCGTGTCGTTGGTGTCGTCGGAACTTGAAAACTACTTTAAGTGGTAACTATTTTTCTATAACTTCTTCGTTAATCTGGGACCAAACGAATTACATTGAATACAATTTATAAATGACAAATGCCTTGCAATAATGTAAATTATGTATTTGCTGATAAATATTCCTATTGCGCTAAAAAAGTATGACACTCCCCATGACAGTTGTATTGCCCATTCAAACTTTAACAGTAGCGTCCAGGTTGATTGAAGATGAATGAGGCTATTTTGGCTTACTGTATATTGTACTCCGGTTCCACTCCACAATCACATAATACATCGTAGAAGTGACATCAATGCTTTTCTCTTGAAAAGAGGTCACTAAATTGATCAAAACAGACTATTACAGTCATATGACCTTTCACTCGAGTAGCATATTACCGAGTATTGGAACAGGTCGATGAAGTGAAATCTCTATGACGTAGCCAATATATTTTATAAGTATATTTATTTAATAATCTGAAAGAACATACAACTCACGTCACGCAAAATATTGAATATTTATAAATGAATTATTGACATAACGCATTCTCCATATTTGTTAACCCCAACTTCATTATTCGTCAACGCATGTGAAAGACTATATAAAAGTAAGGAGAAGACCAACTTGCAGATAAAGTGTCAACTCACCTTGCTCGGAAACCTGTGCGAGTATGCCATTTCATTGTGAGGTTCGATACAGACCGATGGCGGGTGCCCACTTGCAGTGAATACGTTTTTTTCTACAGACTGCCTAACTGCTGTACCGCCTTCGTATGTCATAAATTGATAGCCAAGTTCGCACATAAATTTTGAAAAGGCGTGAGGACTATCAATTGGTAAACCTCGAAGTATGATCGCACCATATCGCGGCAAATTTGTGTCAAGGAGGTCTCTTGCAACAGAGACCCAATTCAGAACTGGGTCACCGGCACCCAAATCTTCTTTGCGGCTCGGTGTATAAATGACTGGAAAGTTAACCCGGGGTTGGGCAAGGAACGCTGGATACGCATTGTCGATTTCGTTTGCACCCGGCAATGAGCGACGCCCAGCGAGGCGGGCAGGAATTCCTCCTGAACGTAGGTTTTGCACAAGACTCAAAGAAGCGATACGCGTAGATATACTCACAAACCGTTTCTGGATAGTACACAACATTGTGGCCTCCACTCAACTGCAGTGTATGTCGTGTTCTGACTTCTACAATATTACGAAACGACAAGGTACACTATTATCAATTTACCGCAAATGTGATTGGTTGGTTGGTTAGTTGGTATGTTGGTTCAACCCGGTTGATGAAAAATATGTCATTGTCGTGTTGACAATGCACATGTAAAACACCTATCTAGTTTACAAAACATTGAACAGACAGTACTTATTACGACATATGGGTGTGGCATTCAACAATACGAAGAAAAGACTATACGTTATAGCGTACGTTGGCATATGACAAATAATGTACTATTTATTTGGTCACGTGATTGCCATTATAAATACATCTGTCTTTGAATAAGTACACTTCACGTGGAGGCATTTAGAAACAGCGAGATTGAAAATGCGCCGAGGAACCTCCATCTAAAAACTAGTCGAGAACTTTACAACTTAAAGCGCGGGAGTCGTCACCTGCGCATGCGTCAGATGGCCATAGCGTGTAATTGTTTACAAACAAGCGTCTACCCATGTGCCTTTGCGTTTTTAGCGTGCGTTGTTAATTCAATTCCCGCGCGTGCGCAGGTGACGATCCTCCCGCTTTTAAACAGTTTCCCCGACAACAAGAAACATCAAGGGGACAACATGCAACAACATATCAAGAACACACAATCAGTGTGAACAAGAAGTATACTTGTGTTCGTCTGCTCAAAATAAAGTTCCAAGAGAAAATAACGACCACCTTAAACCATTTTTGATTTGGGGTGTTCACAACATACATATAGAAGTGTGCATTCAGTCTTGTGAATTTTCATTGTACACAAACTGAAGTTTGCAATAAAAACACTTCGCTCTTTCGATCCTGATCCTACTTCAAAATGTGAAATAAGAGGTCAAGGTAAATTTATAATAATTGTAGGTAATGCTCATCCAGGGTGAATAATGATTATACTAGATATGGGGAATATTGTATTTAAAACTTATCAGAACAGGCATTCCAAAGCTTCCAGTAATTATTTACAGTTGCCGATTTAAATAGCTCTGAGGGCCATTAAGCTGATGTTGTGTGATGCAAATCGGCCTTGGTAGGTTTCATGCTCTCTATACACAATAAACTCGGTTATGCTTTTTAATTTGAGGGTGCCTCAGTGACCGAGAGAAAGACGTGCCCTGACGTGAATCTAGGCGGCTCGGTTCAAGTTTTGTTCGCGAGCATCAGTTTGAGTCACTCACGCATGCGCAGTATATGTTTACTTTGATTTGACAAGATATATAACGGTAACAATTTGAAAGTTGCATTTCCCGTTTGCAACATTGTAAGATAGTATCACCTGATTAATATATTCAACATCAAATGTTGGAATTGTAAATAGGTCATAATGAGAAATGCAGAATATGAATAAAAGCTGATTTTAGAAGATTCGTTTTTAAAATGAATCTTCTAAGTTCCGCTAAATAATTTGTGTAAAAATATAGCCTAATCACCTAGTGACGATGACGAAGTATGGTGTGAAAAAGTTGGTTAGAGATAAAGCGTTTTAATATCATGGTGTAAGTCTCAAATATTGGGTTGGATCTGAACCAGCCGTAATGTTGTCAGCCGACAAATACAATATTTTGTTTTGTTTTGCGGCGGTCGTCGCGCAGCGCGTGTTCGAATTTCATGTAAATAAACAATGTATTTTACACGCGTTGTATACGTCGCTATGAGTCCCATATCGAACGGGACGCGGCACGACGACTGCCGCCCTTTAAGCTAAGAATGTTTGACTTAAGTTTATCAACGGGATGACATTAAAGCGACGGACATCTTCCCAAAATACAGATAGAAACGACGTTTTGTACATTTTATTTTGTACATTTTATTTAGTTCCAAGAGAAAATAACGACCACCTTAAACTTGACACACGTGACCATTTTTAATTTTGGGGTCAAAATGTCAAAATCCACAGTATGTTCGTGACAAGTATATCTTCACAATATATGTATTTAAGAACAAACTCCAAGACTATGGGATCCAACATGCATATGATATGACCCATGAAAATGTTCACTGCTACTAGAAAGTCAGCCGAGCCTAATTTTCTCTCACCAATGCGTCCCTTGTCATCGTCCGAATCGCACGGTTTCGCTAAAGCCGGTCATTCATAACCGGCCCACGAACCCGTGCGTGATCGTGTTAGGAAAAGCGGTATTTCACTGCAGTTAAATTGAGTCATTTGTTCAGTTCCAAACTTTGCTTCGGTTTGGAAGAAACCTAACAAACGACACATTAAAATTAGAAGTCATTAAAAACATTGAATTAAACTCAAATTAGAATCGTTAAGCTTACACATTCTTTACGGCCATAAATCTTTAAATATTGCACTATCCTATGCATTTTGGACGACTTTTTGTTGTAAACATATTAAAAATTGTTGCTAATAAAAAAAACAGACTCTAAAACTGTAGTTCAAATTAATCCAACAACCATGTGGAATACAACCGGAGTTACACAATACAACGTGTCAGCAGTATTACGATGCGATAAAATACTATTTTGTAAGCTACAAAATGGTACAATTAGGGATTGTGGATAAGGTGCGGAATATTTGAAATCCGGAGGAGGGGAAGATTTTGGACAAACAAATGTCCATATCAATCCAAGTAGAAAAAATAGAACGTAATATTCATTTTAGGAAGCATGGGTATTAATGTAAAAAAAATGGCACAAGATTTATACGAGAAAAACTTTTTTATTTTCCAAGCCCTCCCCAAGATCTCAAATGGTTCACCCCTAAAGGCCGACTCAGACAGCTTCGCCCGACGTTCACCGACGAATACGGATGTCGCGTCGCTTCAGTGTCCCCTCTCGTGTCCCCTCTCGTCGGCGACAGCAGTGTAAGATGGCGGTCTCAGAAGATTTTCCTGTGACCGTGACGTCGAGCGAGGCTGTCTGAGTTCGGCTTAAATGACCATCACTTTCGACGACGAGGACGACCCGGGATCGTGACCGCTGTTATTAAAAAAATCGTGAAGAAGATTAAATATTGACAACCTGTAACCTGACCTGCAACCTGACCTGTAACCTCACCTGTAACCTGTAACCTGCGTTTTGTTGCTGCCGTTAGTCGACGACTATTTGCACTGGGGATTGTGCACCTATTTGTAAAGCACCCATTGCAATCTGACAATATTAAGAGACTATGGCATTGGCCAATTTCAAGAAGTGGTGAAACTTACAGTTTGTCTGGCGCTTTATGGTTTACAGTGTTGCCTAAAGTATCATTAAGCTAAAGTATTGGCAGGTGGGTTTTGATGATTATTGACACACAGATGGATACTCATTTAAAAACTTATTTTTTTTTTTTTTGGTCCCTCAATTTTTCAAAAAATGGTGGAGGAGATGATAATATGTTTAATGGGAACCTTCTATCTAGACAATGTGGATAGAGATAATTTTATTTTACTTAATTAATTTAAAATTATAGTATTTGACAAACTTGTGACTCTGCAAAGGTGTAAATTTGCATTGTTTAATTACAATAAATAATGTATTTGAGTATATGTTATATGTAAAGGGGCAATTTACTAATATTTTCTTTTTGTTACCAATACTGTACTATTATTTTGGAGCTTTTATACAATTATGGTATTTATTCCATAAAGAATATTGAGACTAATAAAGTATATGTTAATTAATTAATTAAGAAACACCATGGCTTGTATTTTTCTTGACAAATTTTACTTAGACATTTTGCTGTTCTATAATTTTTAGAATTGTCTATACATCTTAGATATATTATTCTGTAAGGGTAAATGAGATTAATACAGTGCATGGAGTATTTGTTGTCCTATTTCATTTTTATTCAGAATTGTTTACATCTAAACTTTCGCCAGTATTTTGTGTACACAATGTTTAGATATATTATTGCATTGTTTCAAGGATGTTATAATCATTTTTGCCATGCAAAGAAGTGACCGTACTGTACGACAGCGATTGTATCCTTACTATGTATAATTAGAATAGAATAGATAGAATAGATAGATTTATTCCACCAGAAAAAAGAGACAATTGTACAGGGAACTTTATCTAAATG